TACTTACTTAAAGGTACATTGCGCAACCTGTTTATCTTCATGGAGATGATATTGCTTTGTTTAGAATGTTCCAGGGTGGAGATTAAACCTATCTATCTCAAGGGAGACAACTATAGGATACATTACAAGTCAGATCTGTGGAAAGGCAACCCTATTAACTGAGAGAAATATTGTATTTTTGAGCAAGAAATTCCTGTAATGAATAAATGCTAGATAGTTGCTATTTAATGTCATACCAACAAACATTCTCAATGTTCTCAATGTGACCATGAGTTGACGTCACAGTTTTGCAGATAGTGACCCAGTTAATTTCTGAAAGGATAGTTTAAGTAACAGATGTCTAGTCAATTCCACTCCTTACTATTAAGCCACGCCTGATGGACACCACTTAAGGCAGTTGTGGTTTGTTTGCACATGTTCGTAACCGCTTACTTTGCCTGTATTTGTCAAGTGTTTTCTCCAGAGATAGGACCTGATGTACCAGAAGGAAAAAGCCAAAGAGAAAGAGAGAACGTGAGAAGGAGGGGTGAGAGAAAGAACAGACAGAGAGAGAAGGGTGGAGGTGCAGAGTAGATGTTGAAATGCTGATGTGGCCAATGCTGGTATAGAGACATGAGAGAGAGAGAGGTAATAAATCTGTCACAAGTAATAGTGGTTTAGTTGTTTACTGGTTTTAATTTTGAATATTGCATTGGATTGTAGTGTTGTCACAATAGTAAAATTAAGAAATACACTTTGACACCAATTGAGATACCACGATGATACTAAAAAAATACTCTTTACTTTGACAATAAAATGTCATTTTTAACATGAAACGTTCTTTTATATTATTGCATGGATTTATATCTGTGTATACCTCCCTCAGTTGTGTATACCTCCCTCAGTTGTTCAGGTATGTTACATAGTGGTCCATGTGGTCTCATATTTGTCCTGATACAGCTCAAGATCATTCTAAAGCTATTCAGGAAAGGTTCATTTCTGTCCTGTGAATGTGACTTTCGTATCGATACCTGTTCAAATGAGTATCCAGTTTTGCTACTAGTTTTATCAATTAGTAATATCTGATTATTGATATTTTGACAACCCTACTGAAGACTTAGTTTATGTGTTCACTCAACTTTTGTATTACACAGCATAGCAAATGACTTGTATTTGCAGTATTAGCAAATAATGTGTTAATGTAATGACTATTTGTCAAACAAAAGTAACAAACAAAAGCGGTGAGCAAACTTAGAACTAAACGTAACTCAAATAATCACTTTTGGGCACCATGGGTTTGTGGTTTACGCAGTGACAGAAAAAAACAAATCAATATCCATGACCAGTGCTGTATTTCCAAGATTTATTTCCAGTTTTAGGCAAACAACAAAGGATACATGATTAAGGCCTACGCTTGCTGCCTGTCCTGTCAACTGGTAAACATCCATAGGCCCACCCAGGTGCACTCTGGTTTAGTTGTACCACCCTCCTTTATCCCCTAGATGACTCACAGATTAAAACAAAAACAGGAAAGGTGCTAAAGGTAAATGGTACCAAATTACACTAAACAAATTAGCAAACATAAAATTAACATAGCAAAAACATATTATGCAAATTATCTAAACTAAATTAGTAAACTAATTGACAAACAAAATAGAATAAACAAAATAAGCAAATAGCTCCTACAGTCAAATTTCATGATAAACAAGTTTTAATATAACATTTAGGCTATGTTGTGCATTTGACATTCTGTATATTTTCTTTAAGCCCTTTTGGTTTAGTCCAGTTTTGTACTCATTTTCAGAAAACATATACTACACACATCATTGTGTCAAATATACTGGATGCCTACAGGTTACACAAGTATCTGTTAAGAGTAATTTTAGACCTGTAGCCAAACATCTATGAAGCACTGCTCATGTAGGAGGTTGGTAAAAGACCAAACATCTATCATGAGTTGTAAAAAAAAATATCTAATTGCATTCAGATGAACTGACAAAAAGACTGAAGTATGAATAGATAAACTCATATTCACATTGTGGTTTTAATTGCATTGCTTTTAATTTTGCAGCTCTATTTTGATATACATTTTGTTATAATGTAAGTGTAGTTATAATCTTATTTAGTAGTTGAATAAAGTTGCTACTTGTTACTGTTTTATGTGTTAAATAATCTGCGTTTGACCCACTCAGAAGGCATAACTGTGTCGTAATGCTCATGTGAACTCTGCTCTGTGTTATTTTAATTAATCCAAATGTCTACAGAGGGTGGGACAGAGCAAGAGCTGGAGAATCCCAGGAATTCTGGCGCCAACATCCTGCCAAAATCTGGTCTTCCGTCTCTGTCCACGTAGCATTACCACAACATAAAATCAAAGCTATTTAAAAAAGAAGGAAGTTATATTTGATTTAGCAGTTTAAGAGTGCACTACGTTGCTTTCCTGTTGTAGTTCTGGTTTAGTCCTTGCTTAGTTCTGTAGTTCTATCCTTGTGCAGTCCTCTTGGTGGATTGGTTCTGGCAAATATTCCTGGTTCCTTTTTTGGGATTATGCTACCACAATTACACTCAATCAAACCATTTTGCAGTTGCCACGCATTCATTACAGTTGTGCTACTTGGTGTTATAGTCCTGGTTTAGACCTGGCTTAGTTCTTATTTACTGCTGGTTTCATCCATGTACAGTCCTCTTCTTGGTGGATTAGATCTGGTATGTGGTTATTCCCGGTTCCTTTGGCTGTATTACATTACAACAGTTACACTGAATCAAACCATTATGCAGGTGCCAAGTATTCATTACAGTTGTGTTATGCAATGGTTTGGTCCTGGTTTAGACCTGGTTTAGTTCTGATTTAGTCCTGGTTTCATCCTTGTATAGTCCTCCTGATGGATTAGATACATTTAGGTTTAGACAAACTTTATTACTCCATGAGTGAAATTATTTGGACACAGTAGCTCACTCATTGGATTACAATATAACAAAGAGTAAAAATATAAATGGTAATAATAAATTCTAAAAAAAAAAAAGTAGCAAAAAAAAATGGCAAGAGACAGGTGTTATATAAGGCATAATTATATAAATGTATATGTACAAGTCAAAATAAGATAGGAAAATAAGCAAAAAAATTAAAGTCGCAAGCGACATCAGGTGCACCGCGCTTTGCACTCGACCAACCCGGAACTCCCTCAGGGTGGTGCGGATGCACCACTTGTCTGCGTGTGATTGAGGCTTTGGGCTGTACTTGTTACTAAACACACGAAGTCAGCAGACCCTGGAGATGCTGATGTGCTAAGATAGGTAAACATTGTGCACATTGGGACATCGCCATGGCAACACCGTGCAAAATACAACTTTGGCCCCCTAGACGTTTTTGATAAAGGTGACCTGAAGAATCACGCTGCCAAATTTCACGTTCTTCAATGAAACTAATAAGTTGCTTTATCACTTTGATATGTAAGAAATGTTTTTTAAGTTTTGTTATTAAGAATTAACATGGGCACTTTGGCGCTTCACCCATTGACTCAGTGTTGACTATGACATGTTAGCAAGAACAAAAATTATGCATGTTCAATGCCTTTGGCATGAGTTGGTAGGATACTGCTGTTCATGCAGGGGGCGATCAAGGAACGAAGTTGAGCGCTTTGCTCATGCATTCATTGTTGAGAAAGCAATAGACCCTATGCCCTGTAGGGGCTCGGGCCTAAATGTAAAATGTCAGCTATATACCACATAAAAAGATGGTGCAAGAATGATATGAAGAATGACTGGACATAGGGTTATCTGTCACATAAGGGTGAGTTATTATACAGTTGTAGGGAGTATTATCTGTTACATATGGTTAGTTGTTGTACATCTGTATGGAGTATGGTATGAATGTAGTCCTGTATGTGGTTATTCCTGGTCCCTTTGGCTTTTTCATTACAACATCACATTACAACACTTAAACTGAATCACACAATTATGCAGGTGCCAAGTATTTATTACAGTTGTGTGATGCTATGGTATACAGTAGTCCTGGTTTAGACCTGGCTTAGTTATTATTTACTCCTGGTTTCATCCTTCTGTAGTCCTCTCCTTGGTGGATTAGATCTGGTATGTGATTATTCCCAGTCCCTTTGGTTGTATTACATTACAACAATTACACTGAATCAAACCATTATACATGTGCCAAGTATTCATTGCAGTTGTAAATACTATGTTGTGGTATAGTCTTGGTTAGACCTGGTTTAGTTCTGATTTAGTCCTGGTTTCATCCTTGTATAGTCCTCCTGATGGATTAGATCTGGCATGTGGTTATTTCTGGTTCCTTTGGCTGTATTACATTACAATTGAATCAAAACCATTATACAGGTGCCAGGTATTCATTGCAGTTGTAAAATTTGATCTGTTTAATCCCTAAATTACACACATAGACCACGGCACGCGGCCTTTGCTTTATTGTCAAACTAAATATTTCCTCTGTGTTATTGAATCCCTCTAATGTGATAAGGCCTCACCAATGGGTCCAGATAATCTTTATTTACACTGGCAGAGCAGGTGGCAAATGCTTCACTGTGCAGGGATCATAGGTTGGTCTTGTACTCCAGTCTTATGTGCTTAAAAGGACACTAAGGAGGACACTAACCTTCTTTTCTAGATGGAGATTAAACTTGCTGGCAAAAAATATATATATATAATAATAATAAAAATAATAATAAAAATAATAAAACAAATGTACTGTGCATCTTTTCTAGTGGGAGCTTTTGTACATAGGTTTTTTTAGAATGTTCCTCAGCATGGCATTAAACTTATATCATTCATTTGTTTCATTACTAAAAAATACTTTGAAAAAAACATCTCCAAAAGGATCTGTAAAAAGTTAGATATGTATAATGAAGAACACAGCCTGCCTTATTATAAAAATGTAGTTCATAAGAAGGAAATGTAGTCTTCTTGGCATTGCCTGATTTTTTTTAACAGAAACCTACTATCCAAATATAAGTCTTAAATCTAATCGTAAATAGTTAATGTGTTTTGTTTCACAGGAGAAGAAACTCAGGCATTCTCCCCAGCCTGGAGGACCTGCTCTTCTACACAGTCGCTGAAGGTCAAGAGACGATTCCTGCACACAAATTCCTCACTGTAAGATATATCTATATCTATATATCTATATTTATATCTATATCTAAATTATAATACTATTTTGAAAGTTGATGAAGAAATTTTGTGGCTGCATTCACACCTGCACACCCACTCTCTCTAAAAATTGGGACTAAACCTGGAGTGAAACATACTCGACGAGGACTAAACCATGACTAAACTTAAATCTACATCAGAACTAAACCAGAATCAAACCAGGTTCAAACCAGGACACAACATTACAGTTATTGCAGATATATTACACAAATGTTGTGTCTTAATCTAAGACCTGGTTTAGTCCTCCTGGTGGATTAGCTTTGGTATGCGATTATTCCAGTTTCCTTTTCCTGCTTTACAATACCACAACTACAAGACTAAAACAGGACCAAACCGGGATAAACCGGTGTGATTGCAGCCTAAAACCCAGACCACCTTTCCCAATGTCAAGAATAGTCTGCTAGTCTGGCCTGCTTCTTGAATGCTGGCGCATCAATGTTGTCTATTAGCAATGTGTTCAAAACAAGCACAAAGCATTTTTCTCTAATGGTCAAATTTTGCATCACTATGGTAACTGGTTCACATTTTGCTGTCAGTCCTATCATAAAATGTGTTTGTGTTGATTTGACATCATTATATAATCCTTTTTTTCTATTCATGGGTTTCAGCTTCCTAGTATAGGTGACATTTGAGGACTTTTCTCCTTTCATAAGATGCAATATTTAGTTTTAAATTTATAATTGCTTGTCAGCAGTCCAAATTTGTATTATTCTGATGCTCATGGATGCATTTTCCTACTAGGGTTGTCAAAAATCGAAACCCAGACAAAATTGGGCCATTCCTGAAAAGTAATTGTTAGAAAAATCATTCCTAAGACTTTTCCTTAGTAACAAAATAGAATTTGAGTTTTTAGTATTGTAACAGGATTATTTGCTGCTGTATTTTCTTTAAAACTGTAAAATTCAGTATATTTTTGTTTTTTGTTTTCTACATTTAGGCTCTTAAAACCACAGGCCTGCGCACAGGTGACCCACGGCTGAAGGAATGTATGGAGACACTCAAAGAAACACTAAAGGAAAGTGCAGACGGAGTTACACTGGACAGACTACAGTTCAAAAAGTAGGCCCTGTTATGAATAAACAATTGCACTTTGCTGTATGTTAAAGCTGTACTATGTAACTTGTCTATTTGACGGTCCGCCACCTGCTTGGAATGTTCCACAGTATGGCATTAAACCATTTATCTTGTATTTGTTCTTACTGCTAAAAACTTGAAAAACATGGATTCTTGTTGTGACTGAGTTGCCTCTTGTCAGAGCTGACTGGTAACTTGTCTCCATAGAGATAGATTAGTTTAATGCCAAATTGTAGATTACACAGTGCCCCTCTAAATTATACATAGTGCCTTTTAGTATGAGAAAGTAGAGTAGAAGAATAGTCGAATAGAATAGTACTATTCAGATACAACATGCAGTTGTTTTGACCTGGTTATATCTGTGATTTCAGTACAATTATTGAGCTTATCAATGTGGAAAAAAAACAACAAAAAATACAATTTGCTTATATTTATAATATTTTCTATATATTTAATTCTAAGGGGTAATGTTATTCAAAAAACAGACCATTACAATAACTCGAAAGATAAGATGATACAAGGAAATTTCAAAGTTCAGTGTTATCTTTGTCGTTCAGCTTGGGGACATCTGTTTTGCATCACTGCTCCACATAAAATCAAACACAAACAAGTACTGTATAGACAATAAGAGAAAGGATGTCATGCAAATATTCCATAAATTGCGATTATTACTAAAAGTACGAGAGCTATTAGAGGCACTATACCTGATTTTTTTTTTTATTGGTTTAACATGAAAAACAGAATTGGCTTATCCAAATTGCTAGCAGTGGCCCAATGTTGAAGTGTAACTTTAGAAATAAATCCTGTAGAACTGAAATTAAATGGAGACTTTTCCTTTTTCAGATGTGTCCAGAGCAACATAGTTCTTCTGACTCAGGCTTTCAGGAAGAAGTTTGTGATCCCGGATTTCCAGCCTTTCTCAACTCACATCGACGAGCTGTACGACAGCGCTGGAAAACTGACAGGGGGGCAGGTGAGAGCATTGTTCTCATCATTAACAATTATATTTTTGATCCATCAAAAATATGGTAGAAATTGCCTGTAAATACCTTGGTTGAAGTGTAAGTATTGTACAGATTGTGGGGTAATTCCACTGTACATTAACAATATAAAGCACTCTTCAATCGGCAACAGACCAGCAGCAACTAAACTTTTTACACCAATGTCTGAATCGGCTGAGCCACCACACCTTGCTCAAGCTTGCATTAATTTTTGGTCTGTACTATATCATAATGCTTGTTAGTGAGATTATGATGCTAGATTTATTATTATTTATGTAGTATTTTTTTTTATTTGCAGACACTATTACATGTAATAGTGTAAGTTCAGTAGTTAATATTAGATTTTTTGAAGAGTGATATTTGAAAATCTAGACAGATGAACAAGGTTTTCCTTTATTATGCATCTAGTTGTCACAACTGTTAAACAATAACACTGAAATTGGACATTGAGCTCATGGCAGATTTCTATTTCCAGGTGTTTGTGTTTATGAAGTTACATTTTACAGCTGCTACGCTAAATAACCTCCAGATTGGCAGTTTGGCACAGACTCAAATCACAGTTCCTTAGTGTATAAATTTGTCCTATTACGCAAACCTACATGAAGTCACTAAACTGAAGTAGTTCTGTTGTTGATCTTTCTCACATGATGACAGTGGTCTTTGTTACTTTCACACACACGAGGGAAATTTTCTATGCAGCAGTCATGAGATTATGGGCATGCCACGTCACTGTCAACTTGACCTTAAAATCAGACAGGAAAAACAACAAAAATGCATTAGTTTCACTTTGAAAGGTCTGATGCAACATTTTAATCTCACTACGAGCAACTTGGTGTTTGGTATGGTATGGTATGTTTTTGAAAAATAATTTAATTTGTGCTTGTTTAGTAGAAATTTTTTAAGATTTCTGGTTGCTTAGTTACTGGCACACCACATATGTTCTGGTTTTGTTCTGGTTTTCCTCATCTTTGCAGTTTGCACATTCACAAGAACAAAGTAGAGCGTGAGAAACTGGCACCACTTTCTGACAAAAATACCGCAATCCTCAATTCTGCTGAACTGCACAATTTACCAAAAGGACTGAAAGCAAAAAATAGAGATATGTATATGGGAAAATAGGCAGTGAATTCTACATTTCAGTTCATTTTTCTAGAGCCAAAAATCATCTTGAAAGTCATATATGATGCAAAATTGGCTGGTGAGATTTAAGCCATGTTATATAATGTTGTTACCCCCTCAAAAACATGTAGTTATGTGTTGTTTCATTCACACATGTTTGGGTGACCCTTTATTATTAGTCCATCTACCCTACACCGTGTGATGTCATGAAGCTCTAGTTTTCAACTTGACAGCTCCTTTTACCTTTTGTTTGCTAGAGAAAGGCATTTCCAGGGGTGAAATTATCCAAATGATTCTAAACTGTTTTCAGTTTGGGAGAAGAACTCATGCAGGGTTTGTATGTTAAACATGTGTAAATGAAAGAAAACAACCATATAACATAGATCAGACAACAGCATAATATTGCCCACCCTTTTTAAGGAAATCGAATGATAACTGAAAGCACAAACTTTGTATACTGCTATTACACTATTCTGCCTATGTATGTCTAATTTATTACAAAAATAGTTTTTGTCTTACATCAAATATTTATCAAATCATCATCAAATATTATTAGTCAAATTGTGTATTTTTATCATTCTATTCTTTCAGTTTATTAATTTCAATACATTATTCACGGGCGGTTTTATACACTCCAACAAACAAAATGATAAACCCCCATCTCCAATTCAAAATAACAACTGACCGTGCAGATTAACAATAGTTGCTTTAAGATGATTGATCAGTGGAAAGACATACATTATGCAGAACCAAAGTCTTAAAATGACTTTAGGCAATAGGCACCCAAGAGAGCAGTGTCCAGTGTTATGTGAGAGAGAGGAAGTGGAAAAGCCAGCCATGTAATTGTGTTGGATTTGAAATTTGAGTCCATTTAAACATCACTGCTGTAAACTGATACTTTGTTTTGAAGGCATCTTTTCCAGTTCTGAGGAAGAAAAAAATTAGTTGCTGCTAGAATTACAATTGTCAAAAGTATCAAAAATCAGATACTCATCAATACTAAAACTAGTATCGAAATTAGAGTTGAGCAGATATCGATACTAAAGTCACATTCACAGGACAGAAATCTTGATCTTGAGCTGTATCAGAACAAGTAAAATTTAGTATTTATTATTTTAGTATTACATATTCTGTATTGTGACAACAGAATATGTAATTTAAGTAATGTTAACTGCAGATAATGTTATGTCCCTGTGTGTCCTAGTCTTACCGTGGAGGAAATAAGTATTTGATCCCTTGCTGATTTTGCAGGTTTGACAAAGAAATTAACAGTCTATAAATTATTTTAGCATTGAGAGATAGAATATCAAAAAGAAAATCCAGAAAATCACATTACAGAAAATATATTAATTGATTTGCATTTCATTGGTGAAATAAGTCTCCTACCAACCATTTAGAGTTCTGGCTCCCACAGACCAGTTAGACACTTCTAATCAACTCGTCACCTGAATTAGACACCTATATAAAAGAGACCTGCCGACAGAATCAATCAATCAAACTCCAAACTCTCCAACATGGGAAAGAAAACACCAAAGAGCTGTTAAAGGATGTCAGGGACAAGATTTATAGACCTGCACAAGGCTGGAATGGGCTACGAAATAATAACAAGAAGCTGGGTGTTAGGAAGACAACTATTGGTGCAACTGTTCGAAAATTTAAGAAATACAAAATGACCATCAGTCAAGATATCACCTGGTATGGTTTCAGTGATCATGAGAACAGTGAGAAATCAACCTAGAACTACACAGGAGGAGCTAATCAGTGATCTCAAGGCAGCTGGGACCACAGTCACTAAGAAAACCATTGGTAACACTTTGCGCCGCACTGCTGTGCCTGCAAGGTCCCGCTGCTTGAGACACATGCAGGCCTGCCTGAAGTTTGCCAATGAACACCTGAATGATTTAGAGAGTGATTGGGTTGTGGAAGGTGCCATGCCATGAGACTAAAATCGAGCTCTTTGGCATTAACTCAACTCAGTGTTTGAAGGAAGAGTGACCTCATGAACACCATCCCCACCATCAAGCATGGAGGTGGAAACATTAGGCTTTGGGGTTGTTTTTCTGCCAAGGGCACAGGACAACTTTACTGCGTCAACGGGAGGATGGATGAAACCATGTCCTGTTAAATCCTGAGTGACAACCTCCGTCCCTCCGCCAGGAAACTGAAAATGGGCTGTGGATGGGTCTTCCAACATGACAGTGACCCAAAACATACAGCCAAGGCAACGAAGCTCAAGAAGAAGCACATTAAGATCATGGAGTGGCCCAGCCAGTCTCTGGACCTTAACCCTATACAAATCCTTTGGAGGGAGCTCAAGCTCCCGAGTTGCCAAGAGACGGCCACAAAACCTTAATGATTTAGAGATGATCTGCAAAGTAGAGTGGACCAAAATTCCTTCTGATATGTGTGCAAACCTGGTCATCAACTACAAGAAATGTCTGACCTCTATGCTTGCAAACAAGAGCCACCAAGTACTAATACTAATACTTATTTCAGTCAATGAAATGCAAATCAGTTTATATACTTTCTTTTTGACAGTCTATCTCTCCCTTGTGAAGCTTCCTTATAGTGTAATATAAATTATGGACTTAGTTTGAGATAAAGACAACTAGACATACAATGAGGGAAACGGGTGATTGTGGTTAGTAGAAGCTGAAACATGAACCAAAGCAAATGCCACTGGTGTAAGCTGATACTGTAATAGTGCACTCCCTCTCATGGGTTGTCTAGCAATTCTTAGATAAGGCAAAACTATTGGAGTTAAAATGTTATGAGAATGTTAATCTTTGTGGTAAGGCTGTTCGATTTTTGCCCCCCCCAAAAAAAAAAAAAAAAAAAAGATTAGCATGTTTAAAAATAAGTATTCTGTTCAGTGTCCACATTGTAAACAAACTCTAGATGTATGAGCAATTAAACTGCATTTTCATTTCAAGGTTATTGTATTAACTCACAGCTATATAATAACACATTTAAAGAAAAATACTTTTGTTCAGAACTATTTCCACAGCACAACATTTGCACTAGAAGACCATTCACACGAAATGAGCAATATGCAATTTTCTGACATGTTTCTCTGTCTCTCCCCTTTCTTTCCCTTTTTCTTTTTCTTTCTCTTTTTCAGGTGGCAGACTACATTCCTCAGCTGGCCAAGTTCAGCCCGGACCTGTGGGGCGTGTCCCTGTGCACCGTGGATGGACAGAGGTAAGAGAGAGAGGGAGGCAGAGAAAAAGAGAAGAGGGAAGGAGAGGGGAGGAGGAAGAGAGGGGTAGTTGGAGAGAAAGACAAGGAGAGGCAGTGGAAAGAAATAGAGAGGGAGAGTAAGGGGCGGAACAGAGAGCAGAGAGAAAAAGAGATAGGGCGATGGTAGAGGGGCCTTCTTACAGTTAACTGATGAAAGTGTCAGATATGTGGAGTATGTATGTTACTTTACAGCACTTTATAGCTATACAGGACCACTTGGAATTATTTTAGTTTAGAAATGCTACGTTTTGTTTGTAGAAAAATTACCTTAATTTATTGTGTGGGTCTCGAACTAAAGTTTTTCAAATTAAATGATGGGGCAACAGATGTGTATTAAACTATCCATTGAGTAGAAAAGTACAAAATAAATGTCATGTGATCTAATTAGGTTATAAACAGCCCAATCCTCTTTATAAAAAATAAAGAATGCAAACACGGTAGTTAATACAGTGAACAATGTAAACTGATGCCCATTTCAGTCCAGGGCTTTAAACACTTTAAACAATTTCGAGCACTTCTGTTTGGCACAAAATGTTCAATGGCCCATATCTTTACTGATTATTTGTCACTTTGTGCAACAGGAAGTCATAAAGATAACAGTGAAATTGTACTACACACTGTACTGTTGACATCTTAGAGTAGAATTTATAGACATGATTCATTCAGTTGTTTTAGTTTTGTGGAAAGTTTATAGTTGTACTTTACCCTCAACATGCAGCAATCCATAGTTAATAAATTTATTGAAGTTTCAGTTCAAGTCAATTTTCTATTATCAAAAAAGGGAAAATGAAAGTGGAAATATGTTTTACAGTACAATTATGAAGACATGATATATGCCATAAAAGAGTAAACCAGGACTGAAACCGAACTGAACCAGGGCTGAACTAGTACTTCACTCTGTTTATTGTTTTTAACTGTTCTACCTGCTGTCTGGGTGGATAAGTCTTATCTCTGCCTCATTCATACACATAGTAGGAGATACCAGGACTAAACCAGGACAGAACCAGGACAGACTTTTTCTGTTATTTATTACTGTCTGAGTAGATAAGCCTTATCTCTGCCTCTTTCAGACATATAGCAGGACTGAACCACGACTGAACCATGAGTGAACCACAACTGAAGCACAACTGAACTAGGGCTGCACCAAAACTAACCCAAATCTTAGCTAGGACTAAATCAGAACTTACCTCTGCCTCTTTCAGACACACAGTGGGCGACACCAAGGTCCCGTTCTGCCTTCAGTCTTGTGTCAAACCTCTCAAATATGCGGTTGCAGTTCACGACCACGGCACAGAGTACGTGCACAGCTTCATCGGCAAAGAACCCAGCGGCCTGCGATTCAACAAACTCTTTCTCAACGAAGAAGGTGAGTTTTAGAGTCAACACAAACATGAAAACTGGCAGTATATAATCATCATATTTATAATTCTAACAATATTTAGGCTTTGCTAACTGTCTGCAACATAATCTCAACGTAGCAGTTTTGAAGATATCCTTAATTAGAATATTGTGTAGTGTGTATATTAAGAAAATTATCAAAGTGACATTTACACACAATTCTGATTACTTTTTTTCTTAAGACTCCCTTTCTGTAATTTCTTCATTCACAGTTGCAATTGAACTTTTTTTTTCCCATAGAATCATAATTAAGTTTTAGTATTGTGATAATACTAGTGCTTCCCCTATAACTTAAATTGGGGATAGCTCACAAGATTAACCAAAATCAAATCGAAATTGCAAAGGCTACAGTTTCTGAAGTACCGCAATTTCTACCACAAACAACAAAATATGCTATTCTGCATAAAAACTGCAAACTCTGTAGTTTAGTTTTTTGTTTAGATAGTGCTTTTCACAGACATATGTCACAAGGACGCTTAACAGGTCATTATTCATTCACTCGAAACGGCGGTGGTAAACTACTATTGTAGCCACAGCTGCCAATCTGCGCCATTGGCCCCTCTGACCACCACCATCATCACCCACGCACACACCACTTTCATACTAGGCACTGTGGGTGATTTGCTTAAGGACACAACAGTAGTATTTGTGACGACTGTAGCGCCTGATTTTCCCAGTGGTCTCCCATCCAAGTACTAACCAGGCCGGGCCTTGCTTAGCTTCTGAGATCTGACGGGATCAGGCTTTGACAAGTCGGTATGGCCACAAATATAAATATAAAAGTCCTAGTGTTTGGGTTTGCAATAATAATTTTTGGTCTGGTAGCAGTTAGTCATGACTAAAAACTTCTGCGAACTCAGAACTTCATAAAGCATGGATTGAACTGAATGACTCAGGTTTTGAATGTCATGTGGTGTTGCCCTTGGAAACGCCACATTTTTCAGTCTGGGATATTCACACCAACACTCCCTCCCACTCCTGTTGTCTAAACCATTGTAAACTAGTGAAAAAATAAATGTATGATGCAATCTGTAGTGACACAAGGACTGTGCTCACATGTTGTGGATGAGTCAGGATTTTTGGGAACGATCCATTGTATCTTTATAGAGGTCACATGCCAAATGAGTCAGTCATTCTTCAAATCCCACACTGTAATTTCCTTTTGTGGTACAATAGAGGCGTGTTTGAAGTCCACGATAAGCATCCTAATTAGATGTAATATTTTGAATACATTAATCTCTTTCTGATACACGTCTTTCACTTGATTTATATAGTTTTTTGTAAAGATTTTTTATTTTGTTTTAATAAGATTCACATGTAGACAGTTTAGACTGTATATTTTGACACATATAGAAGACAAAAAATACAATAATAAAAAGAAAATTAAAAGGTTTCCAAATTCATAATTATTGAATATTCTACATAGGTTTGCTTAGTATATGAAGTACACTGTTCAGATTTGAAATTAAAGTTTCCATAAATGTCTGCAAATGTATATGTAAACTTACGGTATTAGAAATAAAAGGTAGACAAAATGTCTACCTTGTTTGTATATAAGTATTTCTACTTGACAGAACAGTCAACACTAGAGAGATTCCAAACAAACATCTCTAACAAACTTTTATAAGTGCTTATTCTAATATACTAACAATTATATCAGTATCGTATTTACTTTTATTTTTATCTATTTCTTAATCTGTTTTTCAACATTTAATACAACTCCTATTGGATAAACTCTTGTTATTTTTCAGATAAACCTCACAACCCAATGGTGAATGCTGGAGCCATTGTTTGCACCTCTCTGATAAAGGTAAATACACAGTTTCTTTTCACTACATTTTTACATTGTAGACATTCATTATATTATTAAATAGAATTATTATATTCATTATATTAAAGTCAAGCATTCTTAACATAAACTAGGGCTTCTTAACAAAATAATTGCTCTATGCTAAGAATTTGTATATTAATATTGTATATTAATCTATGCAAATGAATCACCTAGAACATGTGACTAAGTGCTAATGTGAATATCGTATTATCTCCACCTTATATGTTATAGTGGGTAGGATATATAACAAGTAAGTGAATGTTTTGTCCTTAAAGTTTGTATTTTAGAATCAAGAAAAATTTTTGAAAATATTGTTGGCTAGAAAACAAGGTCAGAGCATTTTTTGTTGGGTGATCCTTGTCTGCAATTTAGTCCTGGGTTAGACCTGGCTTAGTCCTGGTTTAGACCTGGCTTAGTCCTGGGTTAGACCTGGTTTAGTCCTGGGTTAGACCTGGATTAAAACTGGTTTAGTCCTGGGTTAGACCTGGATTAAACCTGGTTTAGTCCTGGGTTAGACCTGGTTTGTACCTGGTTTAGTCCTGGTTTAGTGTAGCTGCTGTTGATTATGTTTGGTCTACATTGGTCAGTATCTGTCAGAGGTTCTTTACTCATTGTTTAGTCCTAGTTTAGACCTGTCTTAATCCTGGGTTAGACCAGGTTTAGTCCTTGGTAATACCTGGTTAGGTCCTGACTTAGATCTTGTTTATTCCTGGGTTAGACCTGGTTTAGTCCTTGTTTAGATGTGGTTCACTATGGTAATTGAAATTGCTTGTATAGTTAATGCTGTATCTGACATCACTATTAGGTGTTTATAAGATTGTATATTGCGCAAACTTGTACTAATTGTTCTTCTAGTTTGTGAAGGTGTTTGTGGATTTGTTGACACTTGACACGTGTGTGGTATTTTATTTTCTCCATTGGTTAAGACTTGGTGCGAATTACGGCTATATAATCCTACCCAGCAGGCACTTAGTTTAGCCTTAACTCAGTACACGCACACGCACACTCACTGCTGTTATGTGTTTTATGGGGACATGACACTGACTTGCATTAAATCCCTGTAAACTGATCCTAACCTTATCTATAGTCACTCTTTACCTTAACCTAACCCAACCTTGACCTATTTTAACCCATCTGATCTTTAAATGATGTTGTTTCTTTAATATTAAGGCAGCCTGATTTTTCTCCCCATAAAAAATGCACCTCCCCATGAACTGAGTGTGTGCACAGATTTAGTCCACACAATATGATAAATATACAGCCACATACGCTCTCACTGCTATTGGCTCAAAATAACCTGGGCAAGTCAAATGCAGGTGTCAGCTCTAGTCTTTGCTTGCTTGTATAGAATAAACAATCACTTACTGTACCATGGGTTTTGGTGTTTATGGTTTGGTTACCACATTATAATAACTACACATGAATTAGACTTAATAAAGAACAAACACTCATAATGAACAAATTGTCTGTAAGGAATGATCCAGACTTAATAACTAATAAAGAGGTTTGGAGTTAAATTTAGGGTATTTATTAACTAAGCCTGAATCATTCTTAATAAACTATTTGTTTGATATGTATCAGGTCTTTGTTCATGCTTTATTAAAGGGTCTATATTACACTATTTTCTGGTCTAGGTCATAATGATCTAGGTTATAATGTTGTTTCATCATCAAATATACTAAATATAACATACCTGGAGTTGTGTTTTGTTTCATTCACACATGTTTAACACATAAACCCTGCATATTTAGGAACACTGTTCTACCCTGTGATGTCCATACATCTTCACTTGAATCATTTGGTTGATTTCAGCCCTGGAATTGCAAAACTAAACACAACTCCAGATATATTTTTGAGGAGGTAACAGAATTATAACATGGCTCACAAGAGTCGATATGCTGAAATATAGGATCTTTAAGGCTTTTATAAGTGAAGTTATTCAGTTGTTACCAAGGCTTGCATGGATAGATTGAGTTGGATTAACAGTATGCCGTTCAGATTGTGTTGGTTGCTGTGTCAGAGAAAGTAAATGCTAACATAGGATATTGGCCACATTTTACTTAGCAGCACAGTAATAACATAGTAGTAAATGCAACTAAATAGTGTAGTCTTTTTAATGCAATGCTCTGCTAATTGCTAATGCTATTATGGTTAAAAACCATATCAACCACTGGATCAGTGCTGTGTGTGTTATGTATTTACCATGCAGCAATGAGCATTTAAGATATTTACTCATAGCTACCATTCACTTACTGTGTCACTTAATGTCATTTACTTGGTATATTGTAACTGTAAATTGAGAGAAAACTTGCTATTATTGTTTGCACTTTTCTTTTCAAAATCATCCAAAAATGCTTACAAAATATTACAAGCTACTTTGTTTATATTGGCCTGTCTGACTTTTTGTGTTGAATTAATTGTAAGTGAGCATAGAAGTTATTTTTGCTGTTTGATGTTGCTTGCCTTCACGTCTTGTGGTCTAACTTAGTTCTCTAAGAATGCCCTTAAAGCATGGTTTCATATTGTGGAGTATTGATATAGGTTCTGATTGTGCCCTTTGACCTTTGACCCCTGCACTCACTGAAGGTCATTGATGTTGTATCAATGCTGGAAGTGTTCATTTTCAGATTGTGTTTTTGAATCCAGAGGAGAGTTTTGTTTACAAAGGAATGGCTCTGATTTCAAAATGACCCTCGTGGTTTTTGGAGAGGGACTTGGCGTTCCTGCTGCTTCATTTTGAAATATTGGATCTTGGAAAAGTGGCTGTGAACATCCACTTTTGGGTCCACAGTTTATGGATCTATGGAGTGCATGTTTGTCATTAAAGAAAAGCATTCCCTTGTTTAAACTTGCTTTACCATTTTCACCCACACCCAGTCAGACCAGTCTTGCATACTGACATATGGAACAACTCTCCCATTCATTGTCATTGTTATAAATGTGGCCTACAGTAAACAACATTATCCCAACTTTAAGCTATAAATCTATGCTATGTATGGAAAAAATGATTAATCTTTAACTGACACACAGACTAGTGAGTCAGATTAATGAATAATAGAGTTACTGAGGCATTTCATGTAGGTCTCTGGTTAAAGAATGACCAGGAATTGGCTCAGGTATGATTTGTTTATTTTCTTGTAGCCCTTTAATTAGGTCTACATTTAGTGGCATTCAAACAGTAAAACTGTAGCATTCATTCAACATAATTGTTTGTACAGCATCTTAAAATTACACTATAGTGTCATATTTACTGCTGCGCAGAAACTTTGAGGTTCAATTCCCAGGGAGTATGAATTCTGAATCCTCTCTGTGTATCTGGGTGGATTTTCTGCAACATATATCCCTTTCTACCCTAAAACATGTGAAACAGGCTAATCATCCATTTAGGTACTCTTGGCCAAGATCATGGTTGGCCCAATGGCACTGATGGGTCAAATACTCAGAATTAGTCTGAGTTACAGGGACAAATCTGTCTTATACATGAAGTGTCATAAATTGAAACAATAATAACAAAACCAGATGAAGTAATTGCTTTGAAACCGTACAGTGCAAAGAGGGAGAATGAAGAAAATATTCTTCTACTTTGTTTTTTGTAGACAACAATAAGCAAGGTGCTTTTACCATCCCAATGTCACTCAATGCCCCTCCATGTTTATAACCCCTCTTGTATGATCTATGGATTTATTGTAGATCATTCAAAGACATGACCTCCATCTCCATTGTCTGTGCACAACCATCTATTTGTGTCTTATACCTGTTCAGTCTATGGTCCAGCCGTGTCGTTCAAACTCCTGAAGCTATGGGGACATTTTTCTTTTGAGCCACTCTACGCCCCAAACTGTTGTTACATGGTGCTTGAAGGCTACATGTTTTTGTATGTTGCATTTTTTCCAGACTTAGGAACAGTGGAAATTATGACTGCTGCAGCAGGTCAAATGACGTTGGTAATTTTTTCTTCCTTTTCCATATCTATCTCCTCGCACTCTCCCCCAAAACCTACCCCCAACCTCTCCTCTTCTCTCTGCTCCAGTCAGCACTACACACAGTAGACCTCATTTAGTGACCTTTTAACATTTCCATCAAACAGGTAGTATAGTCTATTAATAATTATTACATTTTACTTGGTAGAAGGATACTTAAATTTAGCTTAATTTTAAACCGAAGAAACAGGTGTACTACAAGGTGTTATTGCTTTGCCTGGAATATTCCACAGTATTGCATTAACCAATTAACCAGACCAAGTTAGAGGTCAGATTTGTGGAGAGGGGACCCTGCTCAGAATTGATCTATTTAAGTTTTTTTTTAAATAAAAGAAGGAATGAATGATAACATTTCAGTGTTGCAAGGTCAAGAACAAAACAAGTAAAATAACTAAATATTAGATAAGTTTAATGCAATATTGTGGAAAATGCCTGACAAACAATAACTTTCTCATGGAGATAAGCTGGTGACAGATCCTCCACCAGAAAAGTTACATAGCGTGCCTAATATAATATAATATAATATCAGTAATAATAATCAATTGGATTAGACTTTCATGTTAACAAATTAGACTTTAAGTAGTGTTAATATAAATCAGATTAAAACATTGCTATTCTAAGATAATATTTTACCTTTCTCTTTTCTGCTGTTGCCTCTTTGCATCAATAGCACCTAAAGGACACAGATCTCATATGATACAAGTTCACTGACTGTATTTATAGACAACACGAGCCAGTATTTTGGTTACCCTTTTATACCAAATGTGTACACAGCTTTCTATCTTCCATTACACAAAGCTCATGACACAACTTGTTGAAACGCTATAATATTGCCTAACTCCCTAAACCTTCCTCTTTGTAACCTTTTGAAAGCCAATTATTTATTCATCTATGTGTGTCCTCAAAAGTTACTTGATTATCAAAATCTATACAATTCACATTTTCTTTTTCTGTAGATTTAATTTGGCAGCGATAGCATTTTCATTTGTGAGTCTCTTGTACTTTTTGCATGTTGTTTTTGAAAATCTAACTGTGAGTTTTTGTTTCTTTGTTTCTTAGCAGGGAGCAGGCACAGCAGAGAAATTCGACTATGTAAGTAATATTTATTTATTGCACAACATGTTTTAGTACCCTTTGGTAATACAGTTTTGTTCTAAATTTTGAGCTTTGATTTGAGAAGTCAATCAGAGGTCATGAGTCCTTTAAAATAGGGCAATGCAATTAAAATTTTAATAGGGATTCACTCATTTCGAATGGTCAATGATCAGCTTAGGTCTTTTTAATAGAGAGGTGAGTTAACACATGAGCTTAGGAGAAGTGTTCAAAATAAATTTCTACTTGTTTGTAATTTTAAATCTGGATGAATCAATCAATATGAGGAATTGAATTGTGTCAAGGAAGGCTACCTAAAATGTATTGTCCAAAAATTCTCAATTACAAGTAAAATACTATTTAGTTACAAAATACTAATTGTCAGTTTCTTGCTCTGGATGAGACAAAATGCTCAGTGAAATCATCTATATTTTATCATTTCAGTATAAGGCCATAGTTGCAAATGAACCAATATGATTTTATAAGGACCTATGACAAAAATAAAGCTGGTGAGAAAACGTCCCTGGAGTAAATGCAGTGGAATAGTGGTTACTTTCCTCTTGACAAAAAGGTGCCATGTTCAAATCTAGGGTTGTGTGGGGCCTGTGTACCTTTACCTGACAAACTGTGAACAATATTTACAGTAACTTACATTGATAATTACTGATGTGCTCTGTTGCCTATTATTCCTGTTAGATTTTTGTTCATGTTTTACCATGCATATTTATTTTCCCTCTTTTTCTTCCAGGTCATGAACTTCCTAAAGCAGATGGCCGGGAATGAATACGTCGGCTTCAGCAATGCCACGTAAGTTTTAGAGAGTCTTTAAAAGACTTCAGCAATTTCATAAACCAAAATAATGTTTGAGGATTAGAAGAATACTTGCATAAGAAGCAACTAACCAAAACATACTTGCCTTTAAACTGCTTAGACGAGTGCACTGTTGTGTTGAGTTTGTTAACAAATATCTTTGAACTTAACATAACATGGGCTGCATACCATAGTCTGCAGTGGTCCAACTTATGCTTTCTATGCTTAGGATTTGTTCACACATGCACCCTTTAATGTCAAACTGTCAGCTGTGCAATTTATCATTATGTATTGCTCCATAAAGTGGTTTAGTTGAAAAAAGAAAAAAAGCTGTACTGAAAATTAGGGCTGTTGTGGACTAAAGATTTGTCCTGCCTATCATTTAGTCAGGAAACAATTATCTATGCAGAATAAAGTACTATACCTGAAAATACCAAATCTTCAGCTAACTCACTCCTTTCTAATGTTGTCCCATATGAATAATTATTATCTAAATAAAATGTTAAGTCAACTACTACACAGTTTGGTCGACTAAGTAAAGCACCATCTTATAGCCATACTGAAAATTTTGACTCATCAATAGTTTAACGTGACGGACTTCTCGGCAACATGAGAAGTCATGATGTACAGAGATATCACAATTCCTGATGAAATGTTAATTCATTATAAATTGCTGAGTTGTGAACTTACTGCTGATAGACTAAAGCTGTTGAGCTGCAAGTGAGTTATTTATTACTCTGTTGTGTTTTCATGTCAAGAGCATTGTGGAGTGTGGACATGAAATTTCAAGGAAGTTTATTTGTTATTAATCAAAACAAATATCTAATCCCAGTCCTACATAGCATGCATACATCCTTTTCTATATGTTTCGCATTGTTAAATGTTATTTGTGAAACTATTTCCATTTTAAAACCTTCCGTCTTTAAAGTGACAGGCCTACAATTTATGTTCTGATCAGTACACTAACCATTAGCATACTGTACATAGCATGACATGGCAACACTATTTTGAGTTGGCAACGCTATTTGTAACTTTAGTACCAGGGTGGTGTGACTAGAGACCTTTGCTTCATTTCCCATTAGCTTCTCTAATACGCTACACTGGGTTGTGCTCTGTTTGGTCTCAACATATAACATGACATTGAAAAGATAAAAATGTTCATATTAGATTAAACAGTATTCTTGTGTGTAGTATATTATCAACAATGACATAACTTTAAAACTAGCCATTAACTGTAAACAGCCTGCCTTTCAATCACTAAAGATTAAATATTGTGAATCAGGCCTGAAGAAGTTTTATGATCTGAAAAATGTATAACTTTGCAACGTGTTTGGTTGCATGTAGAGGGAAGTGGGCAGGGCAGTGGGCGGGATCAGGGGATGGGATCAGAGCATGGGCATTTCCTGTCCGATGTAATCATTATTGCCGTGTTTGTGTTGACAGATTCCAGTCGGAGCGTGAGTCAGGGGACAGGAACTTTGCCATTGGCTATTATCTGAAAGAGAAGAAGGTTTGTGGCCTCCATTAGTCACCCGTCTACTCTCTGTTATGTTATCAGTGCAAGTCTATGAGTCAAGATTACTATTATTATTATTTTATTATCATTTAATTAGTTCATTATCAAAATAATAATAAATGGAATAAAAGTAATTACAAGTAGCATGATGTTGGATTCATTATAAAGTATAGTGGCTTTGTTTACAAGCACACCAAACTGTAAATGTAGGCACTGCTCTGTCTGAAGCTCTATTACTGAAATTAGACTTGAATCTGTGTTTTGTTTTAACACAATCTGACTATGAAAAACTGTTTTATCTGGAATTACAACCAGAGATCATATGTGTTCTGTCACAAGATAGCTTTTTCAGTTAATCAGTCTCACAGTTTTTGTTGAAAATGAAACACCTTAACAGACTCTTGAAAATATGTTGTTTAAATCCATTTTGTATTTTTTTTTCTTGAGTTTCTACTTTTTTTTGGTAGTGTATGCTTATGTGTGCATTGTGTCACCATGGTAACTGCTGAACATCCCTCCATAGAAAATACACCCCGACTCCCCCAAGTATCAATACCTTTTATATTTTTGGGGTTTTGGCTAATGCATCTATGGACATTTTGCAACACAGCAGATTTTGTCAATTTTCTAGTCACAGTTATTGGAATCCAAACACTATATAGTTGCAATTGTCATGTGCTGTTAGTTGGCAAATAAAAACACAATAGTAATAAGGGCTCGTGTTTTGGTAAATCATATTGTTTCTTGTTCCAGTGTTTTCCTGATGGCACGGACATGACTTCAGTGCTGGACTTCTACTTTCAAGTGAGTCGACCTTGAATCGTCTTGTCTCATATTTCCTCCTCCATCAATGTTTCATGTCTCTTAATGGTTTCCGGCTTTAGCAAGGCCTAAATTCTGAACACGCTTTATACGCTCTCAGCAATCCCACAATGCACTTTTGGGATTTAATTATAGGATTTGGTCATTTTCAGCAGGTACATGAGTAATTTTAGCAACATCTAAATCTTCTCCCCAGAGTGGATTTCAAAAGCATGTCCATTTTACAGAACACTCCCCAAAGTCCTTTATATATTATCAAATATTGGTGACGGGTCAGAAAATCTAATTACAGATAGTAGCGTTAAGATAATATACAAGTAAAATTTTTAACCTAAAAAAAATTGCCCAGTGGAAAAGAAATTGTAATGTTATTATCTTAACTGTGTTTTAGTAAAATGAGTAGTTAAACCTGTCGTAGGCACATTAATAAAGCAGTACATTTATGAATCAAACAAACATAATGAAAATAAATAATAATTTGAATGTGGTCTTCTCTCTCTCGTGTAGCTGTGCTCTATTGAGGTGACGTGTGAGAGTGCCAGTGTCATGGCAGCAACTCTGGCAAATGGAGGGATCTGTCCCATCACCGGAGAGCGCGTCCTGAGCCCGGAGGCCGTGAGGAACACTCTGAGCCTCATGCACTCCTGCGGCATGTACGACTTCAGTGGACAGTTCGCTTTCCACGTGAGTACTGAACCTTCAACTCTTGAAGGGATGTGACATAAAACATAGGGACTGTGACTGTAGTTCAGATTGAATGCAGCCTGTTTACAACAAATTGGTATTAAATATTTTGGCACTGTCTATCAAGGTGTTTGGGGACATACTAATGTAGCCTGATTTATTAGCTGGTTTCACTTCATAGAAACCATCTGACCTTAGTGTTAGAATTCTTTCGCTCGACGGTGGGCGGGTACTTTTTATCATTTAACCAATTGCTGCTATTTGGTTGTGGCGTATGTAATGCGCCGCTAACGGGGCTAACTGGTATATTAAGCTTATCCCAAATCCTGTAGGAAGAAGGGCAATAACGTCTTTCCCCTTGATAAAATTCACCAAACATTCTCTTTATTTCGTCTAAATCCTCGATCTCAGGAATCGACAACACTGAATATATGGCTCTTTGCTCATTGGCTGGTGCCCGAACTTGCACTTCTGGGGTTTTTGCAAACCGTCTAGTATATTCTGATTCCTCACATAGTCGCTGGAGAGAAATGAAAATGAGCGGAGGCACTAGGTGGCTCCAGCCTGGCTAATACTGATGTGCAATTAAGAATAAAATGTGTTTTTTTTCAAGCACAAACCCCTTCTGTTAACATGAAACAAAACTGAAAATGTGTTAAACTGGCAGTGCCCAGAGAACTAGTGGACAAAGAGTGGTGAGGAGGGGCCTGGTCTGGATGTTTGAGGAACAGTGTAATGGTGGTTTGACAGGCATAAACTCTGCCCCTACAGCCAACCGTCCCCAGCAGAGGCATGTGCTGTACTGCTTGTAGTGTAATGTATTGAGGCAGCACACTTCTGCTGACCCCTGTGGTATGTGTCCTACTTTTTTAGCAGACATAAACACTAAAGAATATGTTGTATACAAAATCTGCACATCATTTGTCTTCACTTCTGCACCACTGTGGAAACTATATAAAACAGAACAGAGCATACCTTTAGCTTTGTGTGATCAGTCCTCTAGAGCAGGACTATACAATCTAAATACATCTTATACAAATTGAATTACATGACAAGATTCTTATTATATTATTAGGCTTTTTAAAATCTTTGCGTATAAAAGGGAAAAATTATAAGAATATTTTCAATGCATAGAGGTTATACTATTTTTATATGTTTTCCGATGAACACCACAATTCAGCGTGATTTACAAACACTCAAATTATTAAGATATAGTTCTCAATTTTGACCAGTTGTATAATTATCTTTTAAGTCATTAAGTGATTAATTTGTACACAAACGGAAGCTTTATCTCTCACCTTAATTCATCTCTATATAAATACAGTTTATTATTAATAGTGTAGTGTTTTTGTTTGCCTTTTCAACTTGCAGATTATGAGATTCTGTAAATGTTTTCTTGTGCCATAGGTGGGACTGCCGGCCAAATCCGGGGTGGCGGGGGGCATCCTCCTGGTGGTCCCCAATGTCATGGGCATCATGTGCTGGTCTCCGCCTCTGGACAAACTGGGCAACTCAGTCAGAGGCATCCAGTTCTGTACGGTAGGTCATTCAAAACACAACATCAGCTGGTCAAATATACTCAACCTGCGGATTTTTGAAAGGTTAGTTAGTTATTTTATTGCCCCTGCAGGGAAATTTGTTTTCATAGCAGTAAAAGGAATGCCGTTTCATGTTGATGACTGTGGAGATGAGACTGTTTTTGAAGCGTGCGTGAGAGAGAGGTGCTTTTTGTACCTTTCTGACACCTTATCTTCTCTAAATATGACCTTTTTTATTTATTTTTTTACCTTTTCTATTTTAGATTTTAAAATATCAGATCACTATTTCCACATTAGCCTTAACCAGGTGTGGACTGAATGAATAATGCTGAATAATGCTCTGTACAAGCGTTTGTGACATATGTCTGTGAAAAGCGCTATATAAATAAAGACTTACTTCATATCTTTGAGTTTTATGGAAATTGACAAAATTATAGCCAAAACTAAGAACAAGGATAGACTCTTTATCTCAAAGGCATAGGCAATAGTTGTGCTGACTATTCCACATGCTCGCCTTATGCTATTAAAATTTCCCATTAAATTAGTACATATTTCATGTCTATACAGTTTGTTCTACTTTTGTCTGTATTTTTGCACACAGCACAATCAAATTATGAAGCGTGTATATTGTGTGTTTGATCGCTTTGGCAGTGGCAAATGCAATAACTAAAATATAAATACTTAATCAAATTTAAATACAACCAATACATCACTACAATAACCGCTATCAATATTCCAGCTCCTAACATTTTAAGAAAAGGCTTACAGGTGACCCTTGTTTATTCTTACTTGTTTAGGACCTGGTGGAGTTGTTTAACTTCCACAACTATGACAACCTGAGGCACTTTGCAAAGAAGTATGATCCACGACGTGAAGGAGGGGACCAGCGGGTAAGGACCTTAAAACTGCATTATAATGGAAAGCGCTGTCCATCTCATCTGCTCCTTTTAAGTTTGCATTAACATCTAGCTTTTAAGATGCTTGGACTAACAATATGCTTGATGCTCCTATGGCCATTTATAGAAAGCAACTAATACTTGTGCCGAACACTTCTTTATCTCTGGGTTTCAAAGTGATGAAAACTAGGACCTAGAACCTATCTTTTTAGTGGTCAAAAGTCCTCAAAATGCCACCAACAATAAAAAACTGAAACCCATGATAAGATTTTTCTTCTCAACTCGGAAGTTGGGAAACAGATTTTTAACATTTTCCAGTCTTTTGAAAAAAAAAATGCTTTGGGAATTTCTAAAGTGGGACTAACCCAGGACCAAGTCTTGACTAGGTTTAAACTAGGTCTAAAACTAGGTCTAAATCTGGATTAAACAGGACCAACAGTGCTAAGTTTTGTACAAAATGTCATCCCCAGATCAGAGAAGCTGCTCTCCCTGACCAGAAGCAGGTCAAGGGGAAAAGCGTGTCTCCATTTTGGATTCTTTGGAGCTTTTCAAATAATATATTTGAAACCAAAATGCGTCTTTGCTAATAGTAAGTTTACATATAGTTGTGGACATGTTAATATAGTGTATGTCTATTGTGGTGTGAGTTTTATGGGAAAATTATGACCTAAACTAAGAACATGGATAGGCTATTTATCTCAAATGCATTGGCAATCTTTGTGCTCTCTTTTGCGTATGCTTTGGACTAACGCGCATTTCACACTTTTAACAACCTAACGTGCAGTTTGAACTTTTCTATGCCGACAAATTTTAGTTGGCCTGTTGCATGTTTTGCTCTGGATGTCTTGTGATGGCAGTGCTATATTTCATAGAATAATCAATAGTCAGTGAGAAGACAATGAATGAATAATGTTTTATATAGGGTGTTGCTCAGGTAACACGAATATTACTAACATTATCTATCATGAAGTTTAGTCCAGTGCTTCTCAGAAAAATGGGCTTAACGCAAGGTTGTGTCTTCATACGGTGAGAAGTCCTCAAAATGATGTCTCTAAGCAGGAAACTGAAATCTATGAATGATTTCAGATAATGAATACAGCAAATCCTGTCAGCCAGTTGCTTACAAAAGATCAATCCTATACAGACTCCATTTTGAATGTATTGTATATTCTAATAAAAATAATAGTTCAATTATAATACAGTAATAATAACTTAATACCAGTAAAAGGTTTGGACACACCCTCTCATTCAATATTTTTTTCCATGTGTTTACTACTTGCTACATTTTAAATATTCACAAGATATCAAATATAATGTGAGATATAGAATTATGTTGCAAATAATAGAAAGTTAAATAACTCAGCTAAATTTAAAAAAAATATTTCTAATGCAAATTCCTCAAAGTAGCCATCCCTAGCTCTGTTGAATGTGCTGAAAACCTTTGGCCTTCTCTCAATGAGTTTCTTGAACTGACCCTTAATTTTTATGAATTAGGGTTCATAAAAAACTCCTGCTTACCACTATCATATCTGCACCACAGTTTGAGAATCACTGGCCTCTTCTTTGCTTACTTGAGCTGCATCTTACTACTTTCCTACATACTTTAGCCTCTTCCTGTCCCTATACAAACCCATACTAATTTGTCATTGCAAACCAGCAGCAAACACGTCGGCCCATGGATTACGAGAGTCTGCAGCAGGAGCTCGCTCTTAAAGCCCCACTGTGGAAAAAAGTGTGTCCCACGGAAACCAACCAGGACAGCTCCACCACTGTAGTGTATAGGATGGACAATACAGTCAGCGAAGTCAACTAGACACCACCCTTTATATTTATTGTGAATATTTATTGTGGTATGCTGGTTACTGTGTGGGTAACTCTGCGAATGGGATGTTACACTGCAAAAATGAAATAGTGATGTCAACGTAGAATTTTGAGTTGTTTTGACTGGGTATGATTACTTTTTGGGCCTATGACTTGTTGAGTTTGGTTTTGGTGTTTTTTCTTCTTATTTCAAGCAAAAGTATCTGGTAGTGAAGATAAAATTTAATATTGAAATGAGTGAAAAAATAATAGTGGATGAATGTCTTTTGAAATAAGAAATAAAACAAAGTAGTGTATTCAAATGTCCATAAGCCTAAAAATCTAATCAAAATTGGTTAAAACAAATCAAACTGTGATTCTGAGTTCAAGTAATCTAAACTAATATCACTTGTACATTGTATTTTCTTAATGTATAGCGCTTTTGTAATACTTTTGAAAAAACTCACAGTGCTTGATGATACATAATACTTACTACTATTACTACTACTACTAGTACTACTACTACTGCAACTAGTTCTGCTGCTTTGAATTATACCAGCTGACATTGAGGCTCCGACTTGAATGACATGAAGAGTTTGGAGGAAAAAAATGATTAGTTTACTAGTGCGCCAGATATGTTTTTCAAAATCAAAAATGCTGGAATTGTCAGAAACATTACCCAAAGATTGCTCAGAGGATACAGTTACTTGTGTGTGCAATGGGATGCTCAAATCATTACATCTTCTGCACAAGATTCAGGCACCTTTCTACAAACCAGACGTAATTGATACTGACTTGACACTGGGGAGTCTGAAAACTCCCAAAATACAAAATGGATGTAAACAATTCATTTTCAGGAGCCTGTGATCATTACGTGCTCTTGATCCAGTTTAGGTTTTTGATTTTGAATAAAAAGGTGAGCGTGACAAACTGTAAAACTGTTAATGCTAGACAGAGAGACTTTTTTAACAGCACAAATCACCTCACCTGTTGTAGTTCCAACTAAATCAGTTCGTTCTGGTCACACTGTGTTAAAATAAAGCTCTGATTAAAGTCTAACTTGAGTAACAGCTTCAGACAGAGCAGTGCCATCAGTTAGCATCACACCCCCAGGGAATGTTGATGACATCAGCATGCAGGCCTAACTGCTTTAAAGAAGAGCAGGACATGCGTTCTTCTGCAGTCACGTTTTATGCAAAGAGATTTTTGACTGGCTGCACCTTGGATAATTTTGATTCACTTGTTGCCTTGGTTTAGTACGAAGGTGTACTGTATTGTATTTGTGAGGCTGTAGATGATATTGTTGAGAAATACCAAAGATGAATATTTAAAGGAATAGTTACTTTAAAGGATAGGTGACAGTACACTGCAAAAAAAAATAGTTTTCAGTTAAAAAGACTTGAATTAAAAGTATTTATCTTGATTGAGTTGGTTTATCATGTCTGTTATATATCTAAACACATTCTTTTCTGATGGTGCAGTATTAAGTTGTATTTGTTGTTATCGAAAAAGCAATTTTTACTGAAATATGGAAAAAAAATCTAATAAAAAAAAACAAAACAAAAAACACTGAAATTAGTTTTATCATCTAAAGTAGTTAAACAAATCCTGGTTAGAAAATTTAACAAAATATTGACACTTGGATATAACATGACGTGATACTGATTCTAATCAATATGAATATTCTTAACTCATTGTAACTTCATAACTATTTTTTGTAGTGTAAAAAGTCTTGCAATGGTCAAACTATATTAACCTCACTGGGTATGACGCACCAAAGCCTCAGAAACCTCAGGTCGAATGTGACTGGATGCTTGGAAGCCGATTGGACGATTTTTATTTGTTGTAGTTGTGGATGATGTCGTAAAGGCGGGCTTCGTTTTTATTGACACTAGATAGTAGCAGTGTATCTGATAAGGGCTCTGTGTTTGTAGGGCAGGCATGTTTGTTAGATTTGACTGTTATGGTTTTGAAAAAAAAGGCGCTTTTCTTATTATTCTACCAAAGGGGAGGTATAGAAATAGGTTTTTAAATTGTGGGTGGAGCAGCATGAAATGTATTATATCGTAAGGAAAAAAAAGGCTGTGTGAATTTGTGCCAATGCGGGCAAAGTGTAGTAACATGTGCAATTGAGTTGTGGTTCAGTCACTGTCCATACTTAAATGGGTGTTTTATTGTAATGTAGATTATCTGTCTGTGTTTTGGAGATTTTCAGATCAAAGTTGACATTATTCTCACCATAAGGAAATTTGTTGCGCATTTGACCCAGAGATAGAATTCACTCTTCACTAAGATCTTGCTATATTTTTTGACTAGATGTATCTAGTTTCGATGATCTGCATACAATGAACATTTTGTTTTAGACCACAGAGGGTAACACTTTATTTTACTATTAATGCACTCCTTATTACTGCTTATTAATATGATACTAAGCCATTTTTGTCCATGAATTATGATTCTAATAAGCTTTTGGTAATAAGCGTGTTATTAAGGACTAATTGCACAAGAAATGTAGTTTTTACTTATTTGCACTTAATAAATTTAATTTACTCTTATGTAATAAAACACTCTCTAAACACTCTCTCGAGTCCAACTAGAAAACCATGGATATACATTTATTAAGTACAATCTACATTTTTTGTGCAACTAGTCCTTAACAACACCCTTATTACCAAAAGCTTATTAGCATCATATTCATGGCTTAGTATCATATTAATAAGCAGTAATAAGTAGGCTTGTGCAAAAATATTGAAATATTGATATATCCTATCGTTTAATGTGATGATACAGTATCGATATCGTGGGCTGCTGTATCAGTATATCTCCAAGAGTAATTTTTAGGGCTATTTAACTAAACTATTTTGTGTAAGAGCTACAATTGTGTTGACATTTTCACAGTTTTGAGTAAAATTTTTGTTTTTCATATTCACTTTACACAAACTTTTAGTATCACAGCCATGATTTAGCCTTTTTTTTACACTGAACTATATCGAATTGATTTGAAATGTATCATATTGAATCGAAAGCTCAGTGTATCAAAAAGTATATCTTATCGAAGTATGTATCGTATCGGCAACTTCTTAATGATACCCAGCCCTATTAATAAGGAGTGTATTAATAGGAAAGTGTTTGTAAATGTCTAACTAATAGCAGAATAAGCTTATGGGGATTTAAAGATTATTACGCGCTGAATAAATACTAATTAATGACAAATTAACCATCTACAACTAGGCTAATTAGCAGGTAGTTAGATGTTATTAAGTGTACCCTAAAATAAAGTGTTACCCCACAGAGGCATTTGTATTGAGTATAGCCACAGTAGCTTTTTGTATAATGTTAATTATACTTCTACATAAAACTGGTCCTATAGCTTCTCAATGATAATCAATTATAGTGGCCAGGAATTGACTCCAATTTTACATTTTCTAGTTTTGTGGGAAATGCTTTTTTAAAATTCAGATTCAAGGCAGGCAAATTCATTTGAACAGCATCAAACAATAAATAAAAAACTCAATTCTATAATGATTTGTCCTTATATCCGGGCATGAAAACATACTGCATATAGTGAGAGCATATTTGTTTAAATACCCATTTGTGGACAGTGTCTCAGTCAGGTCATGGTGAATTTTATTGTTTGTTTGTTGATGATTTTTATTTCAGATGTCCATAAGTGTAACAGTAGGTCACACATTTTTTTTAGGTTTTAAAACATGGTATTTGTCAAATAGAATAGCACATATTTGACAAGTCTCCAAAGTAGGTCAAAATTGTATCAAAACCAAATGACCTTGATACGTAAAGATGCACTTACCTTTATTCAGTTATTGCGAAAATACACTGAATAACACGCATTCTCAAGTTGATCCTAAAAACTTTAAGATGCAATAGGCAAATGTTTGAGGATCAAAATTGGTTATAACTCATATTTTTTGCTAATTTGACAATCAGATCTTGAATTCACTAAAAATGAAGACAATTTTAGATAATAATGTGAAAATTATCAAAACCAATCAATCAAAATAATAATATATTTTGGACCACATTACTTAGTCTTTCACTCTTTCATTCAGACCAAGTTGGCAGTAGATTTTTAACTTTTATGTTGTTTTGTCTTGTATTATGTCTTTGTAAAGATGTAAAGCGTGTTGTAAAGGTGATAGGACATTGAATTGTGCAAGTCAAATAAGGTTAAGTTCCCATTTTCCAACAGTGTTCCTTCTTCCATTTCTCAGTATTGTTCATGTTTTGCATTGTAAAATTGCGACTGTAGTAAATATTGTACAAAAGCTATTTGTGAGTGAATAGTTCTCAATATACAAAAACAGTTTAGTTTTTATTTTTTTCAGTGGTGAGCCTCTTAAGCAAACTTCAGCCTCATAGTTAATGGGATAGTCCGACAATGAAAGTCTATGAAATGTTAAGCAACCTATGATTATGGTTAAATATAAACCTTTCATTTTGTTCTGATTGACTTCAGACTTATATACAAGATTGAACCATCCATTTTAGTGCTTATCATTATTGTAAGCCTTTGTAGCTGCTCCTGACCACTTCTCTTAACTGTTAAGAGAAGTTACTATGAGAAACGGGACATCATGTAAAAGTATTGTTCTTTCTCAAAAGCCCAAGCCTTAGATGTGAAAATCTCATTGAATTTGACTTGAGTGATTCTGGAGCCAATAATAGCAATTTACTTTTTTATTGTCTTTCTGTGCTAAATATTGTTTAAATGTGTTTGGTTTTCAAAAGCCTCTTTCTCATGATCTAATAATCATCAATAGATTCATAAATTATATGTTATTCGTGCTTGGCCTATGGAATTCAATAGTGTAACAGTTAGAAAACAGTTTTTATTAGCTGACATGTAAAGTAGAAAAAAGTGCACCCTGATGAATTACTGCTTCAATCAGTTGGCCATACTTTGTCATTAGTCGAAATGTTTGTCTAACCAATCTTGTTTAACCCGTTGATTACCATATTTAGGTCAGTGTATTGTCAGGTTAAGATGCTATATGGGCTCTATTCATACTTATGTCACAAAACCCGCAGATGTTTGGAAACATGCGGATGATGACTTCCTTTGGGCTCTGTTGGTGATAGTAACTCTGACAAAATCTGGGAAAACTGAGAAAATTGAGTTTTCTTCATCTAGATGTGATTGTATTCTTTCTTTTTTCCTGTTATAAATTGCCTATTAATTTGTGTATTATAGTTTGTCTAACTTAATTAAAAAAAAAAAAAAAAGTCAGTGTAGTGTTCCACTGTGTTTGAATGTGCGATTAGAGTCCCATCCCCCATGGAAAGCTTTGGCAGGTTGTTAAAACCTCTGCAGCACCGTTTTTATCACATGCCCAGTGTCGGGAACTACACCGGAAGTCATCATCCGCATGTTTCCAAATGTCTGCAGTTAGCATGAATAGAACCTATTTCAATGGTTGCAGGGTTTGTCAAATGTCTGCACATCTCTTCATCTGTGTGGTTTCTTGTTTCTTTGCACCACATAAAATCAACACTCAATCATGTTTCTTAACCTGATTGGAGGAAAAACACTTTAACATATTGATTCATTTGACAATCAAATCAATCTATACTTTGTTAAGTATCAAAACTGAATCAACATTCTATTTTGTGAATATTAAATCAATGAAAATATGGCTTTTGAACACCAGGAATTCAAATTATTTACCATACTGTGTACATTTCCCATGTTTTGGTTCACCTTGCATGCATTTGTATAATTTTACAATGCTATTCTTGTTAATTGTTTTTATGTTTTTTCCCCACATATTTTATTTGTAAATTAGTCGTGGTCTTAAATTTATTGTAAAAGTACCACTTTACATTAAGGATTCCAATAGACACATTTTGTATTAACTTTAAATTTCAAGCATATTAACAATTTGAACAAAGTCTAATCAAAATAAGTCAATTTTTATTTTAATAGTTTTTTCTCAAATGGTGTTTTCAATCTTTTTCCTCTCAAATGGCCTAGCAAATGTGGTATGCATTTGCGGTACATTTTCTACTATTAACTTTAAGAGCCCTTTTGCAAAGTGGTACCCAATTGATCCACATCACTTTTATTAATTAATGATCTTGGAAATGCCATGAACTTGTTTTTACACATTTAAAAACATTCAAACCAAAAAAAACATGTGTTTCCAACTTCATTATTGCTGTCTTTTAATTTCCATTTTGAGTGTACATTCACCATTGTGTATAAAATCTCATTTGCTCAAAGATTTCGTATTTGTTTGGCTGTAAAGAAGCTTCATATATGAATGTTGGTTTATTTTTGCCTTGTCGTCACCTGTAAAGAGTCAAATAAAGTTCCATTATCCATTATATCTATCTACACTTGTTATTGTTGTCATGGATCATTTAAAATACCATACAGTCTTAAACATGGCTTGTCTTGTTCTTGTGCAGCAGATGTAGACTGTAGAATGGCTCTGTGCAAATGACCTGCATTGTAAATTTCATCATGAATAGTAGACAGGAGTAAAATCTAGACACTGTTCTGACAAGCTGTAATTTTTGTGAACCTTGACAAATATTCAGTCCAATCAGCTACTAAATTCAAAACTGACAGTGCTCTATCAAAATAACTGTCAGTCAACAACATGACACATAACAGGACATATATAAGCCAGCTGAAGGGCTAAATTGTTATTCAAACAAATATATTTAGGTGCACTGGGTAACTTTTCTAAGAGGGGGTATGCCACCTGCTTAACTCAAGAGAGGTGTTCTGTCTGTACCTTATATGGATCTGTCTAGTTGATGGCATTAATTCATTACGTACATTTTTAATTGCCCAAAATACATTGAAAACCAGACATCTACACAGCATCTCTGACAATTCCTTTTGGGGAATTGTAGAGTTTTCTGTTATGTGCTCACTGTGTTTACAAGTCAGTGAGAGACCATTGCTAGTGATTTTCATTCCACAGCAAAAAAGGAAAGTTTCAACCAAAATTAGCATATTTCCCCTTGTAGATTTTAGTCAGTTGAGCACATTTTTAACTTTTTTTATTTTTGTATTCTGTTATGTCATAGTGGTTCACCTGTTGATGTGAGAGAATGCTGATTTCCTGAATTTCCCTTTGGGGTATCAATAAAATATCTATCAGTCTGTCTATCTATCTCTCTCTCTATCTCCCCATCTGTCTATTTATGGCACTGTTATCTGAAGCAAGAGAAGCAGTTTCCAGTTAAACTGCATTTTCTGTTGATCAAACTGACAAACCCTGAAGACCAGTTCTCAAAGGTTTGCGTGCAGTGTTTACAGAAACACATTTACTGTGCAAATGTATAAAATGTGCCTTTAATTAGTAACAGAAAAATAATGAGTACAATTTTCTAATGGTAGGCTATAGCATTTACTTGTCAGTTCACAAAGTGACAGTTTTCATGTTTTTCTAATTATGACACTCTTTGGCGGAATAGTACCTGCAGCAATAGAATCTTATTTTTACACCGTCAACTGTCAAAAAATGTTGAAAATGACAGGAAGTAGGACTAAAAGGGATTCCCTCGATCTATGCCATCAAAAATTCTGTCCAAAATGCTGGGACAATTTACAAGAAACACATTTATATATATACATATTTCATATGTTATTATTAGTCAAGTCAATTATATTGTGTAAATTTGATATTTACAATACGGTTGCTAAGTAACAGTCATGAAACTAGGCCTACATTTATGTCACAAATGATAAACTAAACCAAAATAATCAATGATATAAGATGACTCTTCTTTCTGCTCCTTTTCATTCATTTCTTGTATGTTTCACTTTATGACACTGTTAATGTATTTTTTATATATACTTTATGAATGAAATAAATGTTTAAAAAAAACAACAACAACAAACAAAAAAAAAGAGTTTTAAATTAAGTCTTAGTGAAATGTCTTATGCACTTGTTGTAGTTGTAGGAATATTTGGTAGTTTGGGAGGTAGGACTTGATATCCCATTACCGTGTTATTACTGTGCTGGGATGTACTTTTAATTAAAGAAATAGTAGCTCATTGTATATGGGTATGGCGTGCAAAAACATCATTTGCATGTTACAGTACATACTTGTTTGAAGTCACTTTGTACTTGTCCCAACTTGTACAGTATGTCAAGCATGCAGCCATGCTAATTGTTGGTCAATGTGCACCTATGATAATTGTTGTTGAATACATGCCTAAAAAGTACAGTACGATCTAGTTTAGAACAAGTTGGTCATATTAAACAAGTGCAGATGTAATACAGTAATAGTAAAAATAGTGCCTTGGATTCATGCATCCATCCATTTCCTTCCGGCCCCAGATAAGCAGAGGAAAATGGATAGATTCATACAGCACTTTTTAAGATACTCAAAGAACTTTATAATACACTTCATACATTTCTAATTCACACTTCTGCCCTGGGGCGGACTAACTGAAATGCGGCTGCCAACCTGAGCCAACGCCCCATGATCACCACCAATAACACAAGATTAAACAAGTTCAAAGGATTACATCAAATCTAAGGCTAAACTAGGTCTGACCCTCGCTTGGATTGAAGCTTTATTAACACCCCATTTTTGGAGGGACAGTTCACATTGCAAATAAAATGTGACTCAAAACAGATTTCATGTGAGAACCCAACAGCCCCATGTCCTGATGTACACAAGGGGACAGGACTGGAGTTGTGGTTTTGTCACATTATGAGAAAGACACGTGAGCAAGGACCATTTTTTATTAAAATAATCAAAAATGTGCTATAATTTTCTTTTACCATTAACAGCCAAAAGTTGTTCTTTTGTCTCTGTCACACTTTCTTTCCCAAAAGAGCAATCAAGTTTAAAACCTCACTGTGTTTGTACTTTCGAGCTTCACTGCTGTTTTAGTTCTGCCTTTTCCAGTGAGAAAAGTGTGGCATCTGTAGCATTTCACGGCAGTAAAGTCAGATAAATGTGACTGTGTGTTCACACAGCACCAGATCAGGTTCAAATAAGATGTATTTCCACATATGAAAGTGACCTGATTGCTTTGGAAAAAGTCAGATTTAAGCTGTTCACACCGACATGAAAAAATCTGATTCAGGTCACATTTGGGCAAAAAGCAGGAGACTGAACTTTATACTCGTAGGATATACTTAAGGTGCACTATGTAACCGTTTCATAGCTATCCACAGTACGGCCTTAAATGTATCTGTCTTGCATTTTTTTAACAATAGGTGTCCTTATTGATAAGACATAAACATACATTCTTGAGGGAGGTTGCAAGTCCACAGATTTGACCTGTAACTTGCTCTCCATGAAAATATGTTTAATGCAGCTCTAGACAAACCAGTCACATCTCCATGGAGACAAGCAGGTGCCAAGTCTCCACCAAAAAGTTACATAGTGCACCTTTAAATTGCACCACGACTGAGATTCTTTGCACCTCCAGCTGTACCCACACCACACTTTGAGAAGCAGAGTAATGGTAATGGGGTAAGTAAATGTGACATTTGTGTTGGTATCCTTTACACAACTGCTCATTATTCTGTATTTTCTGTTATGTTGTCATTTCATCTCACCCATTCATTTTAATATGTTATTTCAGACAGATGTATTTAATATAAAGGTGGATTTTGTTTGTTTTTAGGTGAAGTCGGTGATTAACCTGCTGTTTGCGGCCTATACAGGAGATGTCTCTGCTCTCAGGAGGTACAACTGTAGCACCACTACTGATGTAACCATAACCTGGGACATTTAATACAGTGTTTAGATGGCTGGTTGGTACTGACACCTAGTGGCTAAAATGGAGGTAGCATCTTGTGTTTCTTGTGATTACTCCAACACTTTCTGCCAGCAGTACTGCATTACATTTGCAGATGGAAACTAGCTATTTAGCTATAATCTGGGGCGGACCAGCTCTGTTTTTTATTATCTTAATGTTTCTGTTCATTGGCCTTTCAAATAAAGACTAAACTCATTAAATGTATTATATGTAATGATTTTTTTTTTTTTTTTAAGATCACATAAATGAACAAATCTGAATATTTGAAAATAATCAACAAATTAAATAAAAAATAAAAAAGTTACTTCACATGTACAGCATATATGGTGTACAATGTGTTATTTATCAATGTTCCTTTTAATCATTTTATTAAGGCTCCTAATGTTTTCGTGTTGCATTTAATTCCATTTGTATAGATCCACACATACCATGCTCATCAAATCAAGTTTTTCTGTATCTAAACTACAGTTACAACTGAGTCTTAATCCACTCTTCTGTCTCTGGCCTGGGCATGTGCAGGTTTGCCTTGTCTTCGATGGACATGGAGCAGAGAGACTATGACTCCAGGACGGCTCTTCATGTGGCAGCAGCAGAAGGTGAAAACACTAAACACAGTCAAAGTGTTGCTGATCATATATCTAATATATAGTGTATCTCATATATATACTTTTACTTTTACTTATATTGTACAAATAATGATTACCGCTGCCCCCTGCAGGACACGTTGAGGTGGTGCGTTTCCTTCTTGAAGCCTGTAAAGTGAACCCAGTCCCCAGAGACAGGTGAGTCTGAGGCTTAAATACTCAAAGGTTTAACATTTATTAGGCTTTAGTTTTTAACTAAGATACAATCCAGTCTAAAGTACTTTTAAAGAGTCATTGTTGAGGAAAATGTTCTTCCTTATTCAAGATTTGTATAGTTCAATTATGAGCCAGTAAATAAACAATAAAAGCATTGGCCTAGTTTGACCTTTAAACTGTCTGTTTTTTCTGTATTTTTTAAGTAAACTGACAACCATGTATTGTGTTAGAATTGGGTCATATATCTCTTTTTATTGCACTTTCATAGTTTTATGTAGTGGTTCAATGCTTTGAAAGGGTTGTTAGCTTTATCTCAGTCATTGTTATATTGATTTTCTGGGCTCCTATAATTGCAAACATTTCGTATAACTCAACATGAAAAACTAGACTTTCATTTAAAGAGAGGGTATGTAGCCTGCACTCTTACTGTTTTAAAAAGTTTCACATTCCCAGTTTAAGTACAGGCTTTGTCTCATGTGAAAACTCAGAGCCTCCAGACTTCACTCACTGAGCTACAGAGGCTGCACTAGCACTAACTCATGGGGTTTAGGTAGTGACTTTTAAGAAAATGTTATAATGTTATCTCATCAAAAACAGCACCGGAGTTGTGTTTTATTTCATTCACACATTTCAGTAATCATTTATTTTTAATCTGTCTGTCTGCTCTGTTCCACCTTGTGATGTCATGTAGTGGTAGTTTTCAAGTTAACAGCTACCTTTTACCTTTTGTTCTGTAAAGATTGTTAATTCCAGGGCTGATGATCCAAATTAGTCTAGTGAAGCTGTGT